GGCTCCTGACTCCTGACAGAGTTCCCCCCAGGCTGGCTGGAATGCCAAAAACTGAAGCAATTCCAAATGGGCACTCCTGCTCAATAAGAGCTGTAAATGTGGATGTGCAGCATTTAAACCACGACCTTCTCCAGGACTGGCACCTATCCACAGGGCAAGTGGAGCCTCAGGAAGGAGCTACAGTTAAAAAAACTGAGATCCTATTGAGATAAGTGACAGCCTCTTGTAAACTGGAAAACACATTATAGACGTTCCTGATTGTAACTTTCCCCCTTTGGGTTATCACTTTAAATCTGCAACTCCCCACTGCCATCTAGAAGCAGGCTAAGCCTTGGGTGAGGAAACGCAAAAAGCTTTCATTAGAATAGCTGTACAGATCACATCCTCCTGGGTGAAAGCCCACATGACACAGAAAACTACCCTGTCTCCAACTCTGAGGGGACCGACCGACCACCAGGGGCAGCTGACACCGATCACATGCCCAGGACTGTTGTGCTGGCAATTCATGTTACACACGACAATTGCACCCTTTTAAAAAGTGCTGGCCCTGAACAGGTTCCATTGGATTCCATGAGGCCCAGTGGTGGGTAAAGTAGTAAAAAAGAGAAAAAGTTTCTCTTAGTTTAACAGGAAACAAACAAAAAACAAACAAACAAAAAACAAACCCAAGACCAAAAACAAAACAAAAGAGAGAAACAAGACTAAAAGTGAAATAGAGACGGGGAAGGTGCCAAAGACCTCTAATGTCCTAAAGCAAAAGCACATGGAAACTGAAGGGAACAGAAACTGAAATTGAGGCAGAACTCAGCCTCACTCCAAGGAATCCTTCCTGAACCTGTCTCATGACTCAGCATTCCCAGCCGGAGGATGACAACAGCAGCAGAGGGGACAGGAGGTCAAGCTGGAGTTCCTAATGCTGACCACTTCTGAGACAACACAAAAACTCCAGTTACGCAGAGTGTCTGCATACTTATTTTGCTCTAGGAGGTGGAGTTTGGGAATAAAACCAGTTTGGGAATGAATTAGACTACAGAGGTTGCTTCATTCAACATTGAGGGGCATTCAAAGGTTCTCTAGAAATGGAATGTGTTTTTGACAGTTATTTTGAGAATGACTGAGGGGTCAGGGAATGAAAAGCGAGGAACAGCAGAAGCACACACCGCCAGCGCAAATGCAGTATTCTTCCCATCCTGCTCCCTACCCAGAATCTGCCTCCCTCCTGCCCACTGGTACAACTTCCACCCATCCCAACATCCTGCGCCTTTCTCCCTCCTCACTTGTAGTACCTCCTATTATACTACGACTTTCAACTGTTTAAAGAAGAGATGATTAATGCCAACCACAGGGCTTGTGATTCATATTGGATCAGGGCACTCGGTCACGTATAGTAATGATCTATGAATCCTGAACTTAAGTATTCTCAGGTGAGAACAAAGTACATTTAGTTCAATTTGTATTCAGGTTCCTCCACTTAGAAGTGTGACACTGGACAATTTACTTAACTTTTCTGTCCCTCAGCTTCCTCCTCTGGAATATGGGGCTAACAATAGCACCACAGGGTTGTTGTGTTAAGTAAAACAGATGAAGCACTCAGAGTGCCTGGCACACAGTAACAGTATACTGTATCATGATTGCTCTTATCTTAAAATACAAAAGCAATACTCTATCATCCTTGTAATTCATAATCTCATTACCTGCCTTTTGGGAGTTTCAAAAGAGACCTTTCAGACTCTGGAAACATAAATACATACATATAGATTCATTCCATCCCCCTCCTGGAAGATGGCTGAGGTTACTTTAAATGTGCATTACTGAATTTCTTTTTTTTTTTTTTTTTTTTTGAGACGGAGTTTCACTCATGTTACCCAGGCTGGAGTGCAATGGCGCGATCTCGGCTCACCGCAACCTCCGCCTCCTGGGTTCAGGCAATTCTCCTGCCTCAGCCTCCTGAGTAGCTGGGATTACAGGCACGCGCCACCATGCCCAGCTAATTTTTTGTATTTTTAGTAGAGACGGGGTTTCACCATGTTGACCGGGATGGTCTCGATCTCTTGACCTCGTGATCCACCCGCCTCGGCCTCCCATAATGCTGGGATTACAGGCTTGAGCCACTGCGCCCGGCCTACTGAGTTTCTTATAAAGTAAAAGAGGTAGGAAGTTCATGAGTATTTCTAGAGGAGGTTTAATAAAGTTGAATCTATAATCCACCTGGTCACTAGCAGCATGATCCATTAGGAATTCCTACGCCCATGAAACAAGCCCCCTCCCCTCTGCACCTTTTGCTTCCCAAGGTGCCTCTTTGGTGTAGCATCACCCTCTGTCGCATGGAAATGATCTCCTGAAGGGGCGGGGCTGGCTCTCTCTGACAGACATCAGAATGCTGTCTGCTAATAACCAAGTGGCCATCCTAGGCTCAATCCAGATACACTTCTGGTGATTTCATCTGTGCAGGCTCATTTCAGGGGTTAGGAAGACAGACCTTGTTTCATTGCAGAGGGAGAAAATGAGGCAGTGACTTGGTCAAGGTCATTCGGAGTAGGTGATAGCCAGGAAGAACACCCAAGGGTTTTGACTTCCAATCACAGTAGAAAACACACGCCCCTCATCTGGGGAAAGTGCCCTTGAGCCAGGCGGCAGACAGACAGAAGCACAATCAAGACACTGAGGCCCAAGAGTCAGGGGAAAATCAAGGGACAAAGAATAAAATCGTAGAACAGCTGTAAGAGTCTACATGTGCTGTGATCCTATCTGAATAAAATGCAGTTTAGATTCACTGAGTCCCACATCATGGTTAACCTTATATAACTTCTTCATATTACATCACTAAGAGCAATTGCTTTTAATGGGCCGGGCACCTAGACAAGTGAGACAAACTTCACGTGCCACAATGCTACACCTAAATAGCTTTCCCCATGGAAATGCTGGCCAGAGTAGGAGCCAAAAATAAACTGAAAAGCCAATTCCCGAGGGATCTGTCATCAGGAATGTTTTTCACACACAGCCTCATAAAAGCAGGGTGATCACAGACAGCCCTAATTTAGAGGCATTATATCTAAAACCTGGTGAAACCCTGAATGTCATGGCAACTTAAAACAAAAGACAATGCAAAAGAGATGAGAAAGCACACAAAAGCTAAAGCATAAATGGTTCGCCTCCGAGACGAAGGCTGAACTTGAAATGACAGACAGCAGTCCTGCTCCCTTCCGGACAGGGGGCCGTTCTGCCCAACCATGACAGGTGGAGACCAGAAGGACCCACCATGTCTAGCCAGTGCGCATGAAGATTTAAGTAGCTGCTGGCATTTGGCTTTATTACAAAATTTTACTCAACGATGGGGAAGGGGCAAGCCTCTTCTAAGGAGATCCAGGGCCAGATGGACCGAGTTTCAAGTGGATACATGGGCTACCTCGCTGAAGGGGTCAGAAGACAGGAGAAAGGAAGGAGCATATAAAGCAGCACTGGCCACTTGCTCTTTCTGAGTCCTTAAGAAGCTTAATTTTGGTGGCTGGAAGCCTCAGGAACACAACCATAAATTCCATAGCTTCATGGAAGAACTTACTTTGTTTCTGTTGCTATTTTCATGAAGGTGGCAGGGAAAGGACATGACTTGCTGCCCAGTCTCTTCATCTCTCTTTGTAAATCTGTTCACTAAAAACTTGAGACTAAGATTAGATCTTTACTCATTGCCCTCCAATTTACAGTGAAAATTACAAAAATATGCCACACCTCCCTCCAACTTGCAGTGAAAACTACAAAAATACGCCACACCCTATGAAACACTCCACATTAAATAGATACTATTAAAAAAATCTGGCCAGGCGCAGTGGCTCATGCCTGTAATCCCAGCACTTTGAGATGCCGAAGCGAGTGAAACATGAGGTCAAGAGTTCGAGACCAGCCTGGCCAATATGATGAAACAATATAAAAATCAGCCAGGTGTGGTGATGCGTGCCTACAGTCCTAGCTACTCGGGAGGCTGTGGCAGAAGAATTGCTTGAACCTGGGAAGTGGAGGTTGCAGTGAGCCAAGACCACGCCACTGCACTCCAGCCTGGGCAAGAGAATGAAATCTCATCTCAAAAAAAAAAAAAAAAAAAAAAGTCAATGGGGAGGGGCACGGTGGCTCATACCTATAATCTCAGAACTTATGGAGGCCGAGACAGGTGGATCACTTGAGGCCAGGAGTTCAAGACCAGCCTGGCCAACATGTCAAACTGCTGTCCCTACTAAAAATACAAAAATTAGCCAGGTGAGGTAGCGCATGCCCATAATCCCAGCTATGCAGGAGGCTAAGGCATGAGAATCACTTGAACCTGCGAAACTGAGGTTGCAGTGAGTTAAGATCATGCCACTGCACTCCAGTCTGAGTGACAGAGAGAGACTCTGTTTTTTTTTGTTTTTGTTTTTGTAACTCACACACAAAAATTTCAATAGATAGCAGCTTAAAAAAAAAAAAAAGTTTCTCAAAACTGTCACTACTGTAGTCCCAGCTACTTAGGAGGCTAAGGCAGGAGGACTGTGTGAGACCAGGAATTCGAGGCCACCTAAGCAACACAGTGAGACCTCCATCTCAAAAATAATAAACAAATCAGTAACCCAAAAAAAAAAAATCTGCCACTACATTATTCTATCAATATTTGGGTTCTAGGCCAGGCGCAGTGGCTCACGCCTGTAATCCTAGCACTTTGGGAGGCCGAGGTGGGTGGATCACCTGAGGTCAGGATTTCAAGACCAGCCTGGCCATCATGGTGAAACCCCATCTTTAAAAAAAAAAATTGAAAAGAACAAATAATAATAATTGGGTTCTAAAATCTCATAACTAGATTAAGTCAATCTTGGTCTAATGGTTTTTCCTTTACAGCATACTGTCACCTTGTTGGAATTTATAAGGAGCAGGAGGTGAGAAGAAAAATCATCCTAAGCTACAGTGCTGCAAGGTCCCAGGACCCACCCTACCACCCTGGTTGGTGGTAACAGACCAGGAGACATTCAGCTAATCAGTCACCTGTGTCTATAGCTCATAGTATCAGACCTACCAATTAGGTATAAACTCCACCCTCCAAAACAAACATTCTAAATCCTAAAAGAACTGGATCTTGCCACCCATAAAACGGCATTACATTTCACCACTTCCTTGGAATTCCTATGTCCCTTGGCTTTTGCTAAGCCCAGAAGCTACAGTGACAAAATACTACCACCGGAGCCACAAGACCAATTTCAACAAATTCAAAGCAAGTCACAGGAGGCCAGCTGCAAAATCTATCCAAAGTAGTGCCTCAAAGGTTTTTTGTTTGTTTGTTTGTTTTGACAGAGTTTTTTTCTTGTTGCCCAGGCTGGAGTGCAATGGTGTGATCTCGGCTCACTGCAACCTCTGTCACCTGGGTTCAAGTGATTCTCCTGCCTCAGCCTCCCGAGTAGCTGGGATTACAGGCATGTGCCACCATGCCTGGCTAATTTGGTATTTTGAGTAGAGATAGGGTTTCTCCATGTTGGTCAGACTGGTCTCGAACTACCAACCTCAGGCGATCCACCCGCCTTGGCCTCCCAAAGTGCTGAGATTACAAGCATGAGCCACCGCGCCCAGCCATTGTTTTCTATTTAACTCCAAAATAGGTATTTCGGGTCAAATTCTGTATAATTACACATGGTGCAGGAGGCAGACGGAACATAACTGTAAACAAAGTTAACCACCAAAGTCAAGAGAGACGGTAACAACAACTGATAAACATGGCGGCTCCCAGTAGTGAGCTGGGCCTGCCTCCCTGAGTGCCAGGGCAAGAGGCCACAACACAGGATGCTGCAGTCAAATGAGCTGCGTTCCAAAAGTCACAAACCGCTAGAGTAGATGGGTGGTGAAAAACATTCTTAAAAATTAACAGAGTGACACCAGCAATCATCTGGTAACACACAATATACAGAGTAATAACTCTCTTTTCCTGACATAATACTGGGTAATTTTTAATTAGCATTCTGCTGCAAAAAAGTAGCATTTTCCAAATACTCTTGCAAATGGACTGAAAATTTTCTTTCCAAGTCTCGGAGCTGTTGCCTGATTTGCATTTCTCTGAGGGGAGGTAGGGTCCTGTGTGTGGAATTGTGTCTGTGGATGTATGCGCATTTGTGAGAAAAAGACCCTGCTGGCATCAGCAATCACTTGTGCCACTACGAAATGGATCACGGGCTCTTCTCTGGAAGAAAAGTCCACTCTTCTCTGGAGTGGACTTTTTTCCTGCTCAAGCCGATGCCACAGACCCCTTTGTAGTTTGGCATGAAGCCCCATTCCTCTGTAGTCTTTGTCTCCCACTGTGTGAGAAATCCAGATCAACTTCCAAAGTGCCCTCCCCTGAAATCAGACCTCTCAACCTCCCAGGGACCTAAAACAGCATAGGCCTGAGTACCGCTTAGAAATATTTTCTTGAAGGGGAGGGAGGGGAAGTAGGAGAGGAAGAATGGGTGTGAGATACAGGGGTGTGTGTGTGTGTGTGTCAATTACTGATAGGAATTCACACACAGGAAAACAAGCCACCAAACCGACCCTGGTTCAAGGTTTCAGGTTTATGATGACAAACCCTTTTGTTTTGCGAAACTGCTATATTCACTAGCATCACCCCAAAAACCATATGGGAGTCTGAGGTCTGCTTAACAGCCTCAGGTCAAGAAAAACCCTTCAGATTTCCAAATTGGTGACTCTCTTCTACCAGGGTTCTGGAATATTTTTTTCAAGGAGTCCAAATGCACTTAGGAGTCACCAATCCCGGTCGCAGCCGTCAGAATCCCCCCAGTACTATTCATATCGGGGCTCATTGCTAAGGATGTTACTCACAAAGTTCCCGCAGCAATTAAAAAGAGGCAGCAGTGTAAAACAAAAAGAGGCTGGGTGGCTTCACCATAAGGCAGCCTGTCATCTAGTGAACTTCTTGGGTTGGGCTGGGATTTTCACCTCTATCTTTGTTTTGGAATGCCCACAACGCCTCCCTGCACGGACCCGGCACGGCCTTCATTTCTGGATGCACGATGCAGCACCCAGCTCCTTGGGGGTCAGCAAAACGCCGTACTGGCGTAATGCCGAACGCGCCCCAGAGCCTGAGAAGTCCCCACAGGAGTCGGTCCACGTCTCTAATCTCGAGGCAGACACCACAGCATAGCATGGCTTAGAAGTCCCCTCAAGTCGGGAGACCCAGGGCCCGCCCAGTCCCGGGCCAGCAGTGCCCGGCTGGCGTGTGCGCCCAGGGCTGCTGCAATGACTTTGCATGGAGCATACCCTCCACTGGGGCTGTCCTCCCGTCTCGGCCACTGCAGTGGCACTGCTCCGGGAAGGGCCCTGCACGCCGTCCCTCCCAGGCCTCGGCCGGGCCGCCGACCCCCTGCCGCCCGAGCCGCCCGGCCCCCGCCCGCCGCACCTTGGTCTCCTTCACATGCTGCTTGACGCCCTCCGGGTACCACTGGACGCGCACGTAGCCGCGGCGCAGCGGGCTGGCCCGGCCCTCCTCGTGGCCCGCGCCCCCGGCCTCGGAGCAGCCCGAGCTGCCGCGGCCCTCTTCCTCGCCCTCCGAGTCCGAGTCCTCGCCGTGGATGAGGCGCACCAGCCCGAAGTGCACGGAGCCGCGGTAACGGCCCGACACTAGGTCGTGAGAGAACAGCAGGCGCTGCGAGCCGGCTTCGGGGCCGGAGTCCGAGGACGGCCCAGAGGCCGAGTCTGAGGCGGGCGTCGGCGCCGGCGCCGAGGTCGGGGTCGGGACGGGGACTGCGGCCGGGGCCGGGACAGCCTCCGGGGCTGGGGCCGGGGCCTGGGTGGGAGCGGGAGCTGCGGGCGTCGGGGCTGCAGGATCCGCCATAACTGCTCTGCGCGAGTGTCGGGCGGCGGCGGCAGCGGCGGCAGCGGCGGCGGCGGCGAAGGCGAACGAGGCGCGGGGAGGCGGGGCCAGTGGGCGCCGGGGGCGGGGCCACGCCGCGCTGACGTGTCCCTGCGTGGCGCCGTCGCCAGGGAGCCGGGATGCAGTTGCTAGGAGCCACCGCCTCGTCGCTAGGGGACGCTGAAGATGCCGCGGCGGGCGGGGGCAGGATGGAATCCATTGAGGAGGGGCAAGGACAGAGATGATTCAACAAAAGGAAGCGAGAAGGGGCGGAGACTCGGGAGGAGGAAGTGGGGTGGCCACCGAGGAAGAGGGGAGTGGTCGGGGTGAGGCAGAGGATGGTGGAGTGGCTGTCAACAACTTTTAATGAGCTCCCTTGGCGTCCTAGCCTAGCCCCAGGCACTGCGAGGGTTACAGAAAGAGAAGGATACTGTCCCTGTCCTCCAGATGTTTACAGTCTGGCTGGGGAGACAAAACAAATACACATTAAATAGATAAAAAGCGACTCCAACTTGTAAGGCTATAATAGATATGCACAGAGCACATGTATAATGCACTGTATTCGGGGATTCCAAGCAGTTTGGAAGGTCGTGACCCCTCAGGGATTGACCTAGGAGCTGGTGAAGGAGGGCCAGAGAAAGGTAACAAAAGGATCAGTGGACCCAATGGGTTTGGCTATAAATCCATTTAGATGAGTTCAAAGCTTTCTGAAGCCAAGAAGGAATGGCCAGAGGTAGCATAGTAAGGTAGCTAAGAGTGGGAGCCATGGATGCCAATTTTTGGCACTGCCATTTACTAACCGATAAAAATAGGCACAATGATTGACTTATTTTCACCTTAATTTCCTCATCTGTAAAACAGGGATAATAGTAGCAATACCCATCTCACTGGGCAATTGGGAGGATTAAATAAAGAAGAACAGTGCCTGGCATATAGCTCCTTCAATAAGCTTAACCATTATTGTACTATTTCCAAACCCCCTGCCTAGACTAAATTCCAGACTAGCAGAACTGTTATACTTACAGTTTGCTCCATATTGCCATTTTAAAATATAAAAGGTAACTCTAGGGCTGGGCACAGTGGCTCGTGCCTATAATCCCAGCACTTTTGGGAGGCAGAGGTGAGCAGATCATCTGAAGTCAGGAGTTTGAGACCGGCCTGGCCAACATGGCAAAACTCATCTCTACTAAAAGCACAAAAAAAGTAGCTGGCGTGGTGGCACGTACCTGTAATCCCAGCTACTCAGGAGGCTGAGGCAAGAGCTTGAACGTGGGAGGTGGAGGTTGCAGTGAGCTGGGATCATGCTACTGCACTCCAGCCTGGGCAGACTCCCTGGGCAGACAGCAAGACTCTGTCTCAAAAAAAAAAAAAAAAAAAAAATGTAACTCTTGGCTGGGCGTAGTGGCTCACACCTGAAATTCCAACGCTTTGGGAGGCAGAGGCGGGTGGATCACTTGAGGTCAGGAGTTGAAAACTAGCCTGGTCAACATGGTGAAACCCCGTCTCTACTAAAAACACAAAGTTAGCCAGGCGTGGTGGTGTATGCCTGTATTCCCAGCTACTCGGGAGGCTGAGGCAGGAGAATTGCTTGAACCTGGGAAGAGGAGGTTACAGTGAGCCGAGATCATGCCATTGCACTCCAGCCTGGGTGACAGAGCAAGACTCCATCTCAAAAAAAAAAAAAAAAAAAGAAAAGAAAGAAAGAAAAAGTAAAAAAAAGAAAAGTTAAAAGAACATGCACAAAACAGATGGCACCTGAAGTACTTAAGATGCCGTAGACCAAGTACTGATAGAGTATTGATGTAATATTGGGCTCAGGGTGGTTGTCAATTGACCCAAATCTTAGAATATTTATATACTAAGATATAGAAAAAACTGGGGCTGAATGAGCTCAAGGGGAGTTAGGATATGATTTTGGGGCAAAACTGGGTTCTCAAATCATGGCCTTCCCATCCCAGATCACAATGCTGAATGGCCATCTGGAATCTGTTGTAAGGATGCAGGTCCCTACTCTCTCTCCCGTAGAGACCTGGGAGATTAAACATCAATAACATAGTAGCTTCTGTTCTGCCTCCCACGATCCTTTCAGCCCCGTTTTCTTGGCCCCTGATAACATAGCATTTATTAAGCACATGTTACTGACCAGGCATTGTGCTAGGTACTTCCATGCACATTATCTTGTCTGTTATCACAATCTTGGATATAGAGGGCTTTTAACCTCATTTTACCAAAGAAGAAAGAGGGCCCAAGGAATTTGGTGCCTCAGGTAAGAGGCAATCACTTGGGGAGTCTCCCCACTCCAAGGGCAGGGCTTTTTCTAGATACGCTATTTCTCTAGGCTTCCTTTGGAAAAACTCTCTTGCAGAGAGGTGTCCATGTGTTCATGTATCCCACTGGGGGATAGGGCAGTCCAGACCTCAAATCTGCTTGTGTGTGTGTGTGTGTGTGTGTGTGTGTGTGTGTGTGTGTGTGTCTGTGTCTGTGTGAGATAGAGTCGCACAGGCTGGAATGCAGTGGGGTGATCTTGGCTCACTGCAACTTTTGCCTCCCAGGTTCAAGTGATTCTCTTGCCTCAGCCTCCTGAGTAGCTTGGATTACAGGCGCCACCCAAAGTGCCAAGCTAATTTTTGTATTTTTAGTGGAGATGGGGTTTCAATGTGTTGGCCAGGCTGGTCTCAAACTCCTGACCTCAAATGATCTGCCCGCCTTGGCCTCCCAAAGTGCTGGGATTACAGGCATGAGCCACCACACCCAGCCTCAAATCTGCTTTTCTTTTCTTTTTTCACCTTTTACTTGGCCAGCGACCAATCAAATCTGCTTTTGATGTCAAAACATCAAGTGAGTTTTGCATTGTACTCCAGAGTATGCCTGTGTTAGTTGTTTTAATGTAAAAACTAATGCCCTTTCCTCCCTAAGCATTGAGTTATATTGGCATTCGTGGAAGATGTGCTGTGTTTATTCTGCGCTTCTTGTAATAATGGCTAATAATAGCTATCACTTAGGGAGCTATAACTCCTTGTTAGGTACTCTACTAAGTGCTTTACATAGATTGTCAGGAAACTGCCAGGTTGTAGGTAAGAGTCCTTGATTTCTGACACTGATCTCTCCCTCACTAGACTAAACCCTTGAGCGTGGGGATCATGTCGTATTTGTGTGTGTAACCCTGATGCCTAGGACGGTACCTGGCATAGGGATGGAGCTCAATCATGTGTCATACTAGGCCAGGCGTGGTGGCTCATGCCTGTAATCCCAGCACTTTGGGAGGTTGAGGTGGGTGGGCCACCAGAGGTCAGGAGTTCGAGACCAGCCTGGCTACCATGGCAAAACCCTGTCTCTACTAAATATACAAAAATTAGCTGGGCGTGGTGGCATGCGCCTGTAGTCCTAGCTACTCGGGAGGCTGAGGCAGGAGAATTGCTGGAACCCGGGAAGTGGAGGTTGCAGTGAGCTGAGATCACACCATTTGCACCCCAGTCTGGGTGATAGAGTGAGACTCTGTCTCAAAAAAACAAAAGAAAGAAAGAAAGAAAGAAAGAGAGAGAGAGAGAAAGAAAGAAAGAAGAAAGAAAAAGAAAGAAAGAAAAGAAAGAAAGAAAGAAAGAAAGAAAGAAAGTAAGAAAGAAAGAAAGAAAGAAAGGGAGAAAGAAAAGTACCATATTAGTGGATGTGAAAGGCCTGAGAACCTGTACCTCCATTCTGTGAGTTTCCCATCTTTCCTCTGACAAACACCCAAAAGTTGAAGCAGCTGGGACTACATTCTTTGGCTGCTCTAAATCCTTTCAAGTGCCGCCAGTTTGAACTGCATCTGAGCTCCTTCAGAGAAATGAGACTCAGTAAATTCCTACCCATCCAATGGTGTCTTTCAGTGACCTCACTTAGACCCAAGATGCTCCGGATAAGGTTTGCAGCTTGACTCATTCCCAGACCCTGAGTGCCCAGACACAGTCTCCATGGGTGCAGGCTGGCTAGCAGGGTAAGCGTGGATGGAAGCCTCTGCTTGGTTTTTACTTTAATTATTGCTGAGGTATAGAAAGAAGGAAAAAAAGTTCATTCCCTAATAAAGAAACCCTCTCCTATCAAGGCCCCATCACGCAGCCTTTCATGGGGAATAGAGCTATTTCTTGGGAGAATATCACTTATTTACAAATGTGCCTGCCAGAAACTGAGCTGGCCTGGCCTCTCCCCTCACTAAGTGGGGTGTTCAGTGTGCAGGAGGTGGCAGAGCTGGCCGCAGAGTGAACTGATTTCAGGGAAGCAGGCTCTGTCTCATCCCTATCTTTAGAAGCCATTGGGGCACCTCTCTGGACCCGCATGGCGTGCTCGGGGCCCAACACTGCCCTCTGCGGGAGCCTGCTTGACCTCTCCATGACTGTGCAAATGATTTCAGGCTGGCCCAAAGAGCTCCTTCCACCCTGGAGTGGGTGTTTGGGGGCGCTAGGGTGCCTTAGGCACTGGGGACTTCAGCTGGGGGGTGGCATGGGAGGTGAGCTGCCTTGGGGAGTCCTCCACACCCTTGTGTAGCTGGCTGAAGAAATGCCTCTGAGGCTCCAGCTGAATGCTGCTCAAGGCTTTTGGAGTGAAAAGGGGCCCTTCTTGCTCCTGGAGCCTCACATGCTCCTTGCATAGGTGCCCTGAGAGAACTACGGGACTTGCCCAAGGTCGCTCTGCAGTACAGTCAGGATCAGGACCCAGCCCAGCTGGCCCCTGGCCAGTCTCACTCCTGCTGTGAGGACGGGTTGCAATCCACTGGGCAAAACACTTTGTGCTGGGGCAACCGTGAAAAGTTTGAGCAATGGTGACAGCCCAGGATCACCAGGCTCATCCTGTTTTCCTCCTTCCTGAAGATACAGGGCAAGGCACAGTGAATCTGCTGGACTAGCTTCAAGGATAATATGCCACCGCCACCTCCCACAGCTCCAGACTCATGGGTGTGTCCTAGATGTGACCCGTCATAGGTACAAAGAAGACCCATCATCTTTTCCCTGAATAGTTTCTTCTCCCAGAGTCCTCATCCTGATTGATGGCAGTTTCACCCACCTGGGTACCTAGTTGGCCACCTGAGGGCCAGCCCTCACTCTTTTTTTTTTTTTTTTTTGAGACGGAGTTTTGCTCTTGTTACCCAGGCTGGAGTGCAATGGCGCGATCTCGGCTCACCGCAACCTCCGCCTCCTGGGTTCAGGCAATTCTCCTGCCTCAGCCTCCTGAGCAGCTGGGACTACAGGCACGCACCACCATGCCCAGCTAATGTTTTGTATTTTTAGTAGAGACGGGGTTTCACCATGTTGACCAGGATGGTCTGGATCTCTTGACCTCGTGATCCACCCGCCTCGGCCTCCCACAGTGCTGGGATTACAGGCGTGAGCCACTGCGCCCGGCCCCAGCCCTCACTCTTAAGCTCTACATGCAATCAAAGCCTGGGTCTTGGCCCCTCCACTACCTTTTTACACCTTTTCTGTCCAGAGCTGCTCCACCAGGTGGGGGCAGATCCATGGAGAGGTGGGGAGGTGGGAGGTACAGCAGCTGAGAGTGAGCTTCTGGAGTCACAGGGACCTGGGTTTGAAGCTGTGCCGCTACTGGTCACTCTGTGACCCTGGACAAGTTATTTTACTTCTCTAAGCCTCAGTTTCCTTTCTGTAAGGTGGGAATAATAATAGGACCTACTTCATAGGACTGTAGAGACTGTAACTTACCAACTGAATCTAACGTGCTTTGCCCAGTGACTGCCCAATGGCAGGCCTGATAACGTGAGCTTTTGTTATGAGTTCATCTCCATCTTTTGCCTAGACCTCGGCTGCAGTCCCCTCACCAGGCCCCAGGCCATCTAATCTATCTGCTGCCTTGTTTCCAGGGTGATTGAAAATGCAAACACGGTCACTGGACTCTTGACTTTACATCTTTCTGTGGCTTCCCAGGGTCCACCCAAGAAGGTGCATGTGGCCTTTCGTAAACTGATCTGATCCTTCCAAGTCCCCTTCCCCCTCTGCATCCAGCATGTAGTGATGTAGTGTTCTGCACTCCAGCCTCAGCCTTTTTTTTTTTTCCTTTCCTTTCTTCCTTTTTTTTTTTTTTTTTGAGATGGCATCTCTCTCTGTTGCCCAGGCTGGAGTGCCCTGGCAGGATCTCGGCTCACCACAACCCCTGCATCCCAGGCTCAAGCGATTCTTGTGCCTCAGCCTTCTGAGTAGCTGGGATTATAAACGTCCACCACCACACCCGGCTAATTTTTGTATTTTTAGTAGAGGCTGGGTTTTGGTTGGCCAGGCAGGGTTTTGGTTGGCCAGGCTGGTCTTAAACTCCTGACCTCAGGTGGTCCACTTGCCTTGGCCTCACAAAGTGCTGGGATTACATGCATGAGCCACCGAGACTTGCCTTTTAAAAAACTTTTTTATTAAATAAAAAAAAATGGATATAGGGTCTCACTACATTGCCCAGGCTGGTCTTGAACTCCCTGGGCTCAAGCGATCCTCCTGCCTTGGCCTCCCAAAGTGCCGGGATTACAGGTATGAGCCACCGCACCCAGCCTCTTTCAGCTTTTCAAAACGTCGCTACTAGGACATTTAAAATCACATGTGGGGCTCACACAATCTTACTATTGGGCAGTGTAGCTCCATTGCTCAGGGAGGCATAGGTCCCTTCTTTGTCCAGGAGGTGGCAATCCCTCCCTGCCTTTAATGCCTCCATTCCAGAATGGTCTGGAAGGTTCCTGAGGTAAATGCCTTTCTAGTACGGCATATATGGAGCCTCAAATAAGGCAGGGTCCCACTCAGCCCTAAGTGCCACCCTCCTCAACAGAAGACTCTGGGCTGGGCACAGTGGCTTACGCCTGTAATCCCAGCACTTTGGGAGGCTGAGGCAGGCAGATCACTTGAGGTCCGGAGTTTGAGACCAGCCTGGCCAATATGGTGAAACCCTGTCTATACTAAAAGTACAAAAAATAGCCAGTCATGGTGGCATGCACCTGTAATCCCAGCTACTCAGGAGGCTGAGGCAGGAGAGTTGCTTGAACCTGGGAGGCAGAGGTTGCCGTGAGCCAAGATCGCACCACTGCACTGCAGCCTGGGCAACAGAGTGGGACTCTATCTCAAAACAAAACAAAACAAAAAAACAGAAGACTTTGCCCCTAGCTGATAGGCACCTGCTCTGTGGGTGGCATGGTGCCACACTCTCAACCCAGCCTCTGTTTTCCAGGGGGGCATAAGCCTCTTGGGGGAGACAGGTGTGTAGTGGATGCTGTGGTGCACCTCCCTGTCCCATCCCTATCCAAGCACTGCCCTTGGCTGAAAGAAGGGGCCTCACCCATCCACTGACTGTCTGTAGGGGGCACAGAGCCTGGTCCTCTTGCCTCCACTCAGGATGCGGGTGAAAGGCCAGCCCTGCTTCTAAGCTCCCCCTGGGATCAGCAGAGGCCCCTGCTGCGGCTAACCTCCACATTGCAGGAAATCCTCCCTCCACCCACTCTGGTTACTTTACTCCCTCACAGCTGTGTGGTCCTGAGAGCTCGCCCCAGCAAACTCCTCATGTAAGTCTCAGAGTCTTAAAGTCTATTTCCTGGGGAATCTGACCTACATAACAATTGATGCCAGGCATGGTCCTGGGAAACGGACTCTAGAGGGGGTTTTGGAGTTGGATCATATGCCTGTGAATGAGGACCCTGTTACTAGTGGGAGGCTTGACGTGGATGGCCCCGGTGTGCTGCAGCAACAAAGCTGTGCAAACTTTACCAGTGGTGAACAGAGATGGGATAAGAGTGGAAAGAAATCAGCGGTGGGCCAGGTGTGGTGGCCCACAGCTGTAATCCCAGCAAGCACTTTGGGAGGATGAGGAGGGTGGATAGTACTTGAGATCAGGAGTTTGAGACCAGCCTGGCCAATATGGTGAAACCCTGCCTCTACTAAAAATGCAAAAGCTAGCCAGGTGTGGTGGTGGGCACCTGTAATCCCAGCTACTTGGGAGGCTGAGGCAGGAATATTGCTTGAACCTGGGAAGTTGAGTTTGGTGAGCTGAGATTGCGCCACTGCACTCCAGGCTGGGTGACACAGTGAGACTCCATTAAAAAAAATAATAATAATAAGCAAGCAAGCAAGAAAGAAAGGAAGAAAAAAAAGCGGTGGATGCAACATCTCAAGTGTCTGAGAGGTATGGGAATGGAGTAAGTGTAAGGAGTGGGGGCTGGAGGGCTGTTGGGGCAGTCAGTGCAGGGGAGAAAGACAGTCAAAGGCTGGGGGTGAAGAATCACTGCTTGAAGGCAAAGTGGACAAGCCAGAGGGTCTCCTTGGCAGCATGTAAAGAAACTCGCCTCCTGACATTAAGAAACAGAAGGAACAGAGAGAAGTCAGCATGGCAGAGCCTCAGAGCAGGTTGAATTCTCAACCTTGATGAGTCAGCTATACAGAGGAGGCCCCTGGGGAGAAGCGGGAGACATCCAGGGACAGAGGCTAGTGCCCTTCCTTCCTTGGGGACAATGCCTCTTCCTTAGGAGACATGTGCTATCCCCTCCCCAACCCTGAGTATATACTGCACCTCCCCTTGCACTGGGCCAGTAACTCAGGCTAAATCACAACCTCACTCACTGGCGAAGTGCTGGATCGGCTGAGGGAGGAAGGAGGCTCTGCCTTGAAGGAGCTGCAGGTCCCAGCCAGAGCCAGGAGAGTGGGGACTGGAATCAGAGGATGCTGGCTGGGCCAAGGGAGTCAGAGCATGAAGTTGGATAAGGAACATCTCTTGGTGTGGGAGCTCTTTTCCCTGTTACAGGATTTTGCCCTGACAAGGACCCCGGTACTTGGAAGTGTGGAGAAAGTGATTCAGGGCGCTTACCCCCATCGTGCAGGACTGCCGTCTCCCAGCTGGGTTCTCCTGCAGCTGCACTCAATGAAGCAGCTGCTTCACCCAAGGTGATGCAGGATGACAAGGCGGGTCCAGAAGGGCTCCCCAGGTCTGGAGCTCCTCAGGGATGGCCGAGGCCTCGGTTACAGCTGCACCATCACGGCTCAGCTTCCCTGCCCAGCCCTCTGCCCTGCTCCATGGCAGGGGTTGTTCCTGAGACCTCTTCCCAATACACTTACTGCACACAGTTCTCCATCTCCCATCCCCCAGGCAGCCTGCCACATGGTCGGACTCAGGCTGGAAAGGTAAAGACGATAAGGCAAGATATGCTCAGTGCCAGGTCTGTGGGGCGGACCTTAGGTGCAGGGGAGTTGAGAGAGAAAGTGACCATCTAAACCACCAAAAAATGCAGCCGTTGCACAGTGCCTGAGAAAGGGCTGTGCTTCCTGCATGCTGGACCTCTCAGCTGCTCTGCATGGAAAGCTGGGCTCTCAGAGGCATCGTCAAGGTGTCCCTGGGACATGGCCATGGGGCCCACTCCTTGGTTTGCCCCAAGTGGGCTCCCTTTATTCTGAGAGTGAAACTGGGGCA